CCATTCAGAAAACTCCATTAGTGAAATTACACTCTCAACGAATAGGAAACTTCTGTTAGATAAAACCCCTAAGTGAGAGCATCCTTAGTATTGCTGTGTTTAATGCTACCATTCCGCCAAGCTTCCCCCATGCTGTGTTTATTTGCACAGTTGGTGTTTTGCAGCCAACCACAGGATGCGACATCCTAATGTATCTTATTTCAACCCATCCCTCTGGCTGGTCAAATTCAGAATTCCACCAGATTCTATTATTCCATGTATTCAGTATTTATCACAGCTATACATTTGATGTGTGTACCTTCTATATTTTCATTGTAAAATTAGGGCTAAGTTCTGTGTCAGGCCACAAGAAAATTCTCTCTATTGATGTTAATAGCCTTGAGACCGCCATTTAACAGGTTATCAATTAGCCTAATCTTCCCCCCTTGCATGATTGACCTGTATTTTGCACTAAATGCCTTGTTGAAGTGCAGAGACATGGTTCCCTCCTTCCTTCCTTCCTGATTCTTCAGCCCAGGAACTTATGTGTCAATTTCTTCCTCAGTAAAGTCCTCCCAGCCTCCCAGGATCCCTACTTCTCTGCTGTGAAGGTCTCATAAAACTTGCATGTAAACATCATCCTAAAACATTTTTAGAGATTGATATCACGCCTGACAGTATGGTTTGAATAATCCATCTTCCCTTTGCAACTGAAAAGATCATATCTCTCCTATTTTCTAAGATTTCTCAAAGGCTGCCAGTGAGAGAGGAGGCTCTTAAGGAGCTTAGGGTCCATTAGAGGAACAGTGGGTCCATCAAGAAGGCCCAAGTCCCTGCCTCCTGGTATTTATTCCTTGGTGTAACATTCTGCCCTTGAGTGTGGGTGGTACTTGCTTCAAACTAATAGAATATTATAAAGTAAAGGGATATGATTTCCATTACTAGGTTATACGAGATTGTGATATCTACTTCACTAATAAACCCTATTGTTTCTCAGATGGCATACTTGGATAAAATACGGGGCTATGTTAGAAAGGCCTACATGGCAAGGATTTGGGGGTAGCTTTTGGATACCAGCCAGCAAGCAACTGAGGCCTTCATGCTAACAGTCCCCAAGGAACTGAATTCTGCCCATTACCACCTTGGATGCAGATCCTTCCCCAGCTGAGTCTTCAGATGTCACCCCAGCTTCGGCTCACACCTTGGCTGAAGCCCATTGAGGAATCTCAGTAGAGGATCCAGCTCAGCTGTGCCATGCTACATAACAAATTATTACAAAACTAGAGGCCCGGTGCATGAAAATTCACGCACTGGAGGCAGTGGGTCCCTCAGCCCAACCTGCCCCTCTCACAATCTGGGAGCCCTCAAGGCCAGGAGGCGACCTGATGATCAGGGGAAGGCGACGCCTCCTTCACACCTCTGCTGCTGCCACTGCTGGCAGCACAAGCCTGGGCAGGCCCTGGTTACTGAGCCTCGGGTGGCCCTGGGCAGCTTGGGGACTGAGGGGAATGGGGCACTCCGGAGGCAGAAAGGATTGGGTGCGGCCATCTAGTGGCTGTGGGTGCTACCATCTTTGAGGGCAGGGCAATCAATTAGCATATTCCCTCCTTATTGGCTGTGGGTGCCGCCATCTTTGTGATAGTGTGAGGGTCAATTAGCATATTCCCTCTTTATTAGATAGGATTAGCAGCTTGAAACTAATTCAGGGAGACAGGTTAAAAGGCAGTTATAATTCAGCATAAGGAGATAGGACATAAAGATTCCTAGGAGACCATGTGATAGAAGGCAGGTAGCCCATCCCAAGTGTCTTAGAGATACTTTTACAACGGCCTCTATATGGTTTTATAATCATGTCTGAATATTCAAGAATTGTATGAAAGTGTACTTCATTAAAATACATACTTAATTGAGTAGCTATAATGTGCAAGACACAGTTATAAGCATTATGAAAAAAACACATGAAGTAATATCTGCCTTTGTGGAGATGACATTCCATTAGTAAGATAATGAACTGATTAATATAGAGAATGAAGATCATGTTATGTGATGAGAAACACTGGTTGAGAGAAGTAGCTAGTGCAGATCTTTGCTAAGTATGCAGCAATGGCACTGCGACATTTCTTCATCTGTATAACAGACTCCTAATCACCCTCCTCCTCTGTGAATCTACAATTTCTAATTTTTCTGGGTGTTGGTGCATATTTTCTCCCCCTTACTTACTCCCTCTTCTAGTTTCTGTGAAAGCCAGCACTGAATAATAACTGCTAACCACAGTACCCAAGTCCTCAAAGGACAAAGTAAGACTTTTTTCCTCCCAGAGAAAATCCCATTTGTCAGCACCACCCTGTAGCTGCACCGAGAGAGATGCTTGCTGAGTTTTCTCTCAGGGCCCAGCAGCTAAGACGATAGAATGAGAGAATTTTTCTTTCCCATGCTGAGTCAGTTACCTCACAGGAGGAACAGGTGTACCAGCCCTTCAGTGTCAAATACCATCTGAGAAAACACAGGATTATTTTCAAGAATTTAGCTGGAAGGGAAGAACAATAATTATTGAAACAAAAGCTAAGAAGAATTGGATGCAGTCCAAGTTATTCTAAAAGGAGATTTAACTAAAGAGAGGACAAAGGTCAATTAGTTCTCTGAAGCAAAGAGTGATTCAGGGTCATGAGAAAGGTATGAATATACCTTGCATGGGGATACAATGTCACCCACAGACAGAATCCTGCCTGTACAGGTGGTAATCCATTGTGAAACAATAAAAAGAAACTTTCACGGATAGACTTGGAACCCATTTCAACTTGACTCCGCCACCCATATGAACAGAACAGTCAAAAAGATGGCCTTTGGGCTGTTAACATGACCACTAAAGAATCTGGTTAAGTCCATGCCCCTTCTCGCTGGCCCACAGGGGCAGGGTCATCCTCAACACCCTGCCTCTGTTCTGAGGCTGCTCTCCACCCTCACTCCCCAGCCAGGCCCCAGGACAGCCAAGGCCTCCTGCTCTGGGCCTCTGGCTGCCTCTCCCAAGGCTTCCATTGCAAACAGAGACTGCAGCTCAACACGGGGTCTCCTTATACTTACGCCCTGCGGCTGGAACATGATGACAAGGCCCTCGCCAAGTTGTCAGCTAGGAGACCAACTGAGTCATGCAAGACTTGAAGTCCCAGCTGAGGATCCCCCAGAGCTGCATGGGACTCCATCCTTCCCCCGACTTGGGTCTCAGTTCCAGGGTCACCTCCTCAAAGAGGTCTTCTCTGCTGGATCACTCTACTCAAAGTAACTCCTCTTCATCTCATACCTGTTTTAATTTCTTCAGCACAATTGCCACTCTCTGGGAATATCTTATCTACTCATTTATGTTTTCAAGCATATTGCATCATCCAACACTAACCCATGCACCCAGAGAGGCTCCCAGCCCGTAGGTGGTGCTCGATAAATATTTGTGGAATGAATGTGGCTGAGACCTCTGAGCATAGTCACATTGGCTAGTTTTGTTATTCTCTGTTCTGAGATTCTGAGAACTCCAATCTGTTTCTAAATTCTTACTAAAAGTTGCATCCTACACTGTGCTCAGCTCTGGGGAACTGACAGGCCCATCTCACAGGGGAACAGACTGACAGCAATTTTCATCCCTCCCCTCAAGGCCCTACTGATTACAGCAGTGACAGTTTTCAGCAGGTACAGCCACACACTGCTGAGTGACATATCTAATCACAAGGAAGGCAGCAGCACAGCAGGCTGGCGTGACAAGCGTCCACAGGGAGGGAACATGAACACGTGCGAGATAACAGCCCTAGGGAGATTTCACGATTGCAGGAGACACTTTGAGGGCACAGCTCCAGCCATGAGCCAGCCAGGAAGAAAGAAACCATGCTGACTATTTATTAGTATATGGGGGGACATGCAATGTGGGGAACTGGTATTCAAATTGTGGGAGCATCTGGGAAGCCAACCAGGGAACGATAGAGCCACCAGAGGTTCGCAGAAACAGGCAGCCACTGCTTGCTGCTCATGTAGCTGAGACAAGGAAGCCACAGGACAATTTCAGCCCAGAGCTCGTGGGGGCATCCCTGGCAGGGGCTGCAGGCATGGTGGGCTCTCTGGGTGAGA